AGCCAGGGGTACAGCGTGCTAGCCAGGGGTACAGCGTGCTAGCCAGGGGTACAGCGTGCTAGCCAGGGGTACAGCGTGCTAGCCAGGGGTACAGCTTAGTGGCAGAACACATACTTATGCTGGCACAAGGCTCTGGTATCAACCCCCAAAATAACAAAATCAAAATAAAAATGGCCCAAACATTGAAAAGCACAAAATTAAACAAGGTAAAATAAGAAGCAAAAAATAAAAATATATGTTTAACTTCCCTGAATATAAGGAATAGGTGACTATAAAAGTTCAACTAAGATAAAGAACTACCACTGGGGGAGGAGGGATTTAAAAATAGGAAAAGAAACTGAATTGACATTTCTCCAAAGAACATCTATAAATAACCAATAAGTACATAAAACGACACTCAACATCATTAATCATTAGGGAATGCAAATCAAAAATTGGGATATCACTTCACATTCACTATAGCGGCTATTATCAAAAAAGAAAAATAAGGGCTGGGGAGATGGCTCAGTGGAATAAGCGCTTCCCCAGCAAGCGCAAGGGCCTGAGTTCAATCCCCAGTTCCGCCAAAAAAAAAAAAAAAAAAAAGAAAAGAAAAAGAAATTAGGTACTGGCCAGAATGTAGAGAAATTAGGACACCTGTGCACTGCTGGAAAATGAAAAATAGTGCAACCTCTATGGATAAAAGTTCTTGTTTTTTGTTTTGGTTTTGGTTTTTTGTTTTGTTTTTTTGCAGTGATGGGGATTGAACTCAGGACCCTGTGCTTGCCAGGCAAGCGCTTATTCTACCGAGTTAGCTCCCTGGCCCCACTATGGATAAAAGTTTAATGGGTCTCCAAAAGGCTAAAAAATAAAATTACCATATTACCCAAAAATCCCACTGGTAGGTATGTACACAAAGAATTTAAAGAGCTGGGAGAGTGTGCATGCTTGTAATCCCAGCACTCCTTTTTTAAGTCATTTCAGTGTTAAGTATTATCTCACAGTTTTCATTGCACTTCTCTGACAACTAATGATAAGAGCTCTAATCTTTCCGTGTTAATCATCTTGATGAAATCAACTTGAATCTCCCAAAGATACATTCAAATGCAGCTGTCCCTTGGTAGCTGTGGGGACAGGGCTGGGCTTCAGGATGCCCAGATACCCAGACCCTATGCTGGGAGGCTGAGTCAGGAAGATCACTGTAATTGAGGTCAGCCTACACTACATAGCAAGTTTAAGGCCAGCCTGATCTATACAGTGAGACCCTGTCTCAAAAAACCTAAGAATTGAAGCAGAGACTCAAAGAGATAACTGTAAATCAATGTTTGTTCATATCAGTACTATTCACAAAAGGCAAAAAGCTGAAAGCAATCACAGTGTCCATTAACTAGTAAATGAGCAAAACTGTGGGATATACATTTATTTATCATTTTAGAGGGGTTTTTTGTTTTTGTTTTGAAACAGGGTCTCTCTATGTAGCTCAGGCTGGCTTTAAACACACTAGATAGCCAAGGCCGGCCTCGAACTACCAGTGATCTTTCTGCCTCAGCCTCCTGAGTGCTGGGATAATAGGCATATGCCATCATAACAGGCATCATTTAGTCTTTAAGAGAAAGAAAAATCTTGACATAGACCACAATGTGGCTTAATCTTCAAGATACGCTAAATGAAAAGGCCAGACACAAAGCTAGAGCAGTTACGGACTAAGCACCTGCTTAGGCAAGCACAGGGACCTGAGTTCGTCCCTAGTACCACATGCTTCACTGGCCTGCCCGCAGGCACGCTGAGCCGCTAAGGAGTCTGGGCAGGCATTCTGTGGTACACACCTGTAATCCCAGTACTAGGGAGGCAGAAAACAGGAGAATCACTACAGTCCGATCTGCATAGTAAGACCCCCTGTACCAAACACATTTAAAAAAAAAAAAGCTAGAGTAGTTAAGTGCAGACAGATAAAAAGAAGGGTGAGCCAGGCATAGTGGCACACACCTGTAATCCCACTACCCAGGAGGCCGAGGAGGATTGTTCAAGGCCAGCCTGGGCTACAAAGCAAGTTCAAGGCCAGCCTGAAAAGCATAGTGAGACCCTGTCTCAAAAAGAGAAGGCGGGAGGGAGGAAGAGAAGAGGGAGGGTAAAGGGGAGGGAGGGAAGGGATGATGGCTGCTTGGGTGCCCAGAGTAGTAGTGTTCAGCAGGTAGTTTCAACTTTGTTAAGATGAAGGAGGTGTGGAAATGATGGTGCTGATATTGCACCACAACATTAGCATATTTAATGGCAACAAACTATATGCATAAAAATGGTAATACTGCTAAGTTTTATGCTGCGTACATTTCACTACAATATAAAAAATTTTAATCTGAATTTTTCAAAATTACATTACCAAACAGAACAGTCCAACCACAGTGATCAGAAAGGTGGTTCTGGACCAAGCTCCCCAAAGACAGCACTTCTGAGGAGCACAGTACCTGGCTGCTTGCCCCACACCCAGCTCTCCAGGATGGCCTTGGCGCTACAGGCAGGGGCCGGAGCCTCTTCTTCATCCTTCTTCTCCTTGTCACTCAGATCTTCTTTCTTCATTCCACTTTGGGTATCAACACCATCATCTAGAGAATGAAATGTTTTAAATCTATAATTAATTATTTTTCAAAATACAATGATTACCTGTCAATCGCTTGATAAATATTCCTCCCAAAAATGGAAAGTTGCAACACATATCACTGAATATTTAATGATTAACAAAAGGAGAAAAGAAAAATATACAAATTGTAACAAATAAAACAGTGTAACTTATTTAGTAATAATAAATATAATAAAAAAGTCTTCGTAAAGAAACCAATGTATTACTCAAATTCTTCAGTGCTGTGTCTTTCAAAATGATATTCCATCAATTTCCTACTGGATTTTACAACTAAAAAATTAAGTCTTTAGTGCGAGGTGTGGTGGTACACACTTGTAATCCCAGCACTCAGGAGGCTGAGACAGGAGGATCACTGGGAGACTAGCCTGGGCTACAAAGTGAGCTCAAGGCCAGCCTGAACTGCATAGCGGGACCCTGTCTCCAAATGACCAAAAAGGAAAAAAAAGATTAAGTCTTTGATAAGTTATCCACCTAAATTTCACACTAATGGCTTTAATCCTCTGGGTGATTCACAATGAGGGCCCCACTTGCCAGGCAGGCAGAGGCACCTCAGCACACCACAAAGCTGGCACTCTGGCACTCTGCCTGGTTCCAGGGACCAGGCAGCCCTGTCCGAGGCGACTCACTAGAACTGCCTGCCTCCACACAGGCGAATGACTCCCACTGTACTCTCAACAAAGCCCCAGGCCTCCTTTGCCCTGGAAAGAGCCCTGCCTCATCTGTAATCTTATCTGGCCACTTGTGGTGACTGCTCACTTCTCTGCAGACTGCCTACTTTGGGTTTTTCCGTCCTGCCACCACTGTTAACCTTCCTCAGCCATTCCATAACCTCCATATATTACTGCATGAAGTGCCATGTGATAGTTATAAATCTTATTAAGACTAGAATTTTGGCCAGATGTAATGGTGCACACCTATAATCCCAGCACTAGGGATGGAGACTGAGGCAGGAGGATCACTGCAAGTTCAAGGCCAGCCTGGGCTACATACTGAGTTTGAAGCCAGCCTGGACTACATAGTGAGACCCTGTCTCAAAAAAAAAAAAAAAGAAAGAAAAAGAAAAAAGAAATTTTAAAGCCCAGCTTCTTGGCTGAGTAACGTTTAAGTAACTGGCCTGATAAGGCTGATAAATTGACACTGCTCATGAATTTACTGTTAATAAATTCTGACACTGGGCCGGGGAGATGGTTCAGTGGAATAAGCGCTTCCCTGGCAAGGGCAAGGGCCTGAGTTCAATCCCTGGTTCCACCAAAAAAATAAAATAAAATAATAAATTCTGACATTGTGAAAACACACAATTACATACATTACTGGCATCATTCACAACACTAGGATACCTAAAAATCTCTAAGGGCACGGTTCTGCTCACAACACTTTGAACACCACGTGTAGATTTTCACACCAAGCATGGTCCAATTCTCTGCAACAACAACGTATGTCCAACAATCCCATTCAACTCTAACACTCTGTGCAATTAGCTCAGACACACAAGTTAAAAGATCAGTCCCCCAAGACTGCCCCCATTTCAGATGCTAATTGCAAGCAGTGGGTGTCCAGGTTATCTGCAACTTCTGTCTAGCTTAGCTAGAAGTGGAATGTTCCCATAACCACTCCTCGTATTTGACAGTCTGTATACATAAACCCCTTATGCATGTGGGATGTATTCCAAGACCTCCCACGGACGTCTGAAATCACAGAGTTGCAAATTGTATACGTACTTTATTTTCTATACATATGTATACCTATGCCAAACATTTAATGTATAAATTAAGCATAATACAGTATTAATAACTAAAAAAAATTGCAACAGTATATTTTAATAAAAACTACGTGAAAGGCTTGGGAGATAGCTCAGGGGCACAGCACCTGCCTGGCAAGCACAAGGTCCTGAGTCCAATCCCTGGTACCAACGTATCTTTATACTATCTTCACTCTTCTTGTGACACGTAAGGTAGCGCCAGCCTACACACTGAAATGGCAGAGAGGTGAATAACACAGGCACAGTAGGGTAACATGAGGCTGGTACACAGTTCCTGAGACACAAGCAATGCTACCAGCCCAAGTCGGTCGGTACACACAGGATGACTTACGTCCAGGGAAAGGTACTGAGACGGTGCATCCCGTTAATCAGAAGAGCACACAATTTAAAGCTTATGAACTGGGTGAATGAGGTGTGGCAGTACACACCTGTAATCCCAGTACTTGGGAGGCTGAGCCAAGAGGATTGCTGTGAGTTCAAAGCCAGCCTGGACTACATAGCCAGACCCTGTCTCAAAAAAACAAAAGTAAATAAAACAAAACTAGCTGGGTGTGGTGGTGACCCCTGTACTCTCAGCACTCAGGAGGCTAAACCAGCAGGATTGTGGTCAGTTTGAGACTACCCTGGACTACATAGGGATATTAAGGCCAGCCTAAACTATATAGTGAGACCCTGCTCAAAAACAAAAAAAACTTATGAATTATTCATATACAGAATTTCTCATGTAGGGCCAGCCAAATAGCTTAGCGGATTAAAGCACCTGCAAGCAGGCACAGGGGCCGGGGGTTCAATCCCCAGGCCTGCCATGCCAGCCGGGCCTGGCCCAGCCCCAGCCCTGCCCCTGGGGCACACTGAGCAGGCAACTGACACTGGTGTGGTGGCGTGCGCCTGTAATCCCAGCTACAGGGAGGCTATAAACAGGCAGATCACTATGAGTCCAATCTAGTAGTGAGATCCTGAACACCCTGTAGGCCCTTCCCTAAAATAAAAAAAAATAAAAAAATTCTTATTTCATACTGTCAGACCAAGGTTAACTGCAGGTAATTAAAACCTCAGAAATTAAAACCACAGGGACCACTATATTGACTCACAAAAGTGGGACCAGATACTATTGTCAGTCTACTGGAAAAGGGCTGGGGAGATAGCTCAGGGCAATAAGTGCTTGCCTGGCAAGGGCAAGGTCCTGAGTTTGATCCCCGGTGCCACCCCCCCCCAAAAAAGAAACAGAATGGACTGGAAATGACATTATAAAGGACACGAAGGAAGAGATGAGACAGGATGCTGCTGGGAAGGGTTCCAAGCACAGGAGCTTCAAGTCCACATGGAAACAGGAGCTCGCTGTACACATGCTCCCCCATCTGCAAGTTCGCTGCACAGTGCCATACAGCATATTTTATGGAGCTCTGGTTACATAAGCAGGATGGGCAATTAGCTGCTCCCAGCCTGCTACTCACGGCCCAGCCCCTGCCCACCTTCTGTATCTTTTTTTCACTTCTACATGCTAGAGCTGGGACACCATGCATCCAGAACACACAGGCAAGCACTGTACCACAGAGATACATTGGCCCCTATGCTAAGGCTGTGCAGAGGCTGCCAGCCACCAGTCATCACACAGCAGTAAGACACGTGGCATTCCAGACTGCAAATGTTTCGGAATCGGTTGTTACAAAAGGACTAACACCACACACTACAAAATGCTCATGTCATTCTGTCACTGCAAACAATTTCAGGAACGCTGTGTCAGAAGTGGTAACAGAGGGGGCCTGGCCCTAGCTCAGTTCTTTAAGTGGCTGCTTCCACAAAGCTGTCAGCCTCAGGTTGCTGGAGTTCGATCCCCACAACACTCCAGCCAGCCAAACCACGCCTGAGGGCATTCAGAGCAAAAAAAAAAAAACAACCCTTATTCCATTTTGGGGGCCTGGCCCTAGCTCAGTTCTTTAAGTGGCTGCTTCCACAAAGCTGTCAGCCTCAGGTTGCTGGAGTTCAATCCCCACAACACTCCAGCCAGCCAAACCAGCCCTGAGGGCATTCGGAGCAAAAAAAAAAAAATCCTTATGGGCTGGTGAGATGGCTCAGTGGTCTAAAGCACCTACTTAGAACAAGCTTAACAAAGCACAGGGACCGCGGTTCAAACCCCCAGCACCACATGCTAGCCAGCCCCGCCCCCTGGTGGGCTGAGCTGGCCACACACACACACACACACACAAATAAATAAAATTTACAAAAAAAAAGTGGTAACAGAGACCAAATATTATGTTACAATATCTACAACCAATCTAAACATATATTGAAGAAACTACTGTATTGCTAACAAAAAAAATCCAACATCCAATAGAAAGAGAAATCAAGAGGATATTCAAATAGCTAATGTCATGAAGATATGCTCAAATTCTTATTTATAAAAACAAATTTAATTACACATAATCTTACAATCACTAAACTGGCAAACATTAAAGAACTAGAATATATGATCCAAGACAGGTTTTCATTTTTCACTTTTTCATCTGGTCGTGTTCACTGATGCTTCCCAAGCACCTGGAACCACGCAATCCGGCAACAGTACTCAGCGATCTTTCAACAGCTCAACAGCCAAGCACTAGGAAATAGCAGGAATGAGGCTAGCAGCACACACCCACAAGCAAGCAGGACAGCCCGACAGCCAGGACACTCAAGCGCAAGAGTCACAGGAGGACTCCTCACCTGTGCTGGGGTCTGCACACACACCCAGCAGGTCCTCAGCACCCGGGGCTACGCAGGCCAGCACAACACTGTGAAGCTGCGGCTGAGAACAGGAGCCGTGCAGTCTAGCCAACCACAGCTATAGCTCCCAGATACAGGGCTGTACGGACTCAGCTTGCCCTGACTGCACCCATATTGGGCACAAATCACCACTGTGATTATCAGAGTAACCCTAGTCAGCTTTTCTGCAGTTTCTCAGGAACCCATAATAAAGGGAACCACTAGAGTGGTACTGCAAAGCTATACACATGGACACTGGCTGCAGGGATGTGCCTGACTCTGATACTGTCTTAAAATGTACTATACACACCCACCCAAGAAGAAACCACTTTTCTCCCCATCAGTACAGCCTCTTCCTGACCCAAACTGCCGGGGTCCAACAGGTCTTCCGAACACCCAAGACACTCCTGTCACTAAGTATCCCCACTAAATTCCCTCCATTAAGTCCTAGCTCTGTGGGCCTCCCT